AAGCCAAAACTGTTCCAATAGACAAACAAGGACAGTGTATATTGTTAAGGAATCTATACAGGAAGAAGATACAGTACTTATAATCACAGACACGACAAATAGTAGAACTCCCATATGTATGAAGCGAACACTGACAAAATCAAAGGGAGAAAAGGAAATAGTTTTACAATAATTGACGCAAATATCAATATCAACTTTCAATAATGGGTAAAATAACCAGATAGGCCAGATAGAAGATCTGCGTAGAAATAAAGTGACTCAAAAAGAAGAAATACACTGACTTAAATGGTAGCATATCAGTTAGTCCCAGCAGATAATTCAGTAAACTCCACCCAACAACAACATAAAAATCAAGTGCACGTGAAACATTCTCAAAAACACCATGTGTTTGGCTACAAAAACAAAATCTTAGTAGATTTAAAAAGATTGAAATCATACAATGTATCATTTCTGTTCACAATGGAATAAAGGTAGAAATCAATGACAGAGGAAAACTGGAAAATATGCAAATGTGTGGAAATAAAACAACATAGTCTTAAACAGTCAACGAGTAAAAGAGAAAAACACAAGAGAAATTAGAAAATACCTCGGGACAAAAGAAAACAAAAATACAGTATTCTGAAACCTGTGGAATGTAGTGAAAGCAGTGCTAAGAGGGAAGTTCTTATATGTAAACACGTAAAAAAGAAATCTTGTCGAAATATAGTAACTCAACCTTACACCTTATAAATTAGTAAAGGAAGAGCAACCTGAACCTAAAGATAGAAGAATGAAGAAAGTAAAGATTAGAGAAAAATAGAGTATGGAAAAATATAGAAAATATCTTAGAAAGTCAGTTCTTTGAAGATAAAAACAAAATAGGCAAACTTTTAGCTACATTGCCTATGGAGAAAAAAGAGTAAAGTTAGAAGTTAAAGTGGGCATATGATTAGCGAAGTGATGGAAATATAAAGAGTACTATAAGGATGCTTTGCATATTTGTATGTTAACAAATTAGATAACTAAGATGAAATGGACAGTCATAGAAACACACAATCCACCAAAATGAAGCGAAGGAAGAGAAAACCTAATAAACGAATAACTAGTAAGGAGATTGAATTGGTTTTGTTGACTGTTTCTTTTGCTCTGCAGAAGCTTTTTAGCTTAACTCCCGATAGATAAAGGGCTGGTATCCAAGATCTGTAAAGACTTTATTAAACTCAATACCAAAACAAACAATCTAATCATGAAATGGGCCAAAGACATGAACAGAACTTTCACCAAGAAGACATAGACATGGCCAACAAGCACATGAGACAATGCTGCGCATCACTTGCCATCAGGGAAATACAAGTCAAAACCACAATGAGATACCACCTCACCCCAGTGAGAATAGTGAAAATTAACAAGACAGGAAATAACAAATAAATGTTGGAGAGGATGTGGAGAAAGGGGAACCCTCTTGCACTGTTGCATTTCACTGTTGGGAATGTGAACGGGTGCAACCACTCTGGAAAACTGTGTGGAGGTTCCTCAAAGTGTTAAAAATAGATCTGCCCTATGACCCAGCAATTGCACTGTTGGGGATTTACCCCAAAGATACTGATGCAGTGAAACACCAGGACACCTGCACCCCGATGTTTCTAGCAGCAATGTCCACAAGAGCCAAACTGGAAGGAGCCTCGGTGTTCATCCAAAGATGAATGGATCAAGAAGTTGTGGTCTATATATACAATGGACTATTACTCAGCCATTACAAATGAAAATGACAAATACTCACCGTTTGCTTTAATGTGGATGGAACTGGAGGGTATTATGCTGAGTGAAGAAAGTCAATCGAGAAAGACAATCATTATATGGTCTCATTCATACGGGGGAATATAGAAATTAGTGAAAGGGACTATAGGGGAAAGGAGAGAAAATGAGTGGGAAATATCAGAGAGGGTGATAGAACATGAGAATCTCCTAACTTTGGGAAACAAACAAGGTGTAGTGCAAGGAGAGGTGGGTGAGGGGATTGGGTGACTGGGTGGCAGGCACTAAGGGGGACACTTGATGAGATGAGCACTGCGTGTTATACTACATGCTGGCAAACAGAACTCCAATTAAAAACATATATATGTAAAAAAATTCGAAATGTGCACTTCCAACTAAAGAGAGAGAGAGAGAGAGAGAGAGAGAGAGATTTGGTAATCAAAAGTCCCCAACAAAGGAAAGTCCTAAACAAGATGGCTCCACTTGTGAATTCTACCAAACATTTAAAGGAGAATTAACAACAGTACTTCTCGAACAATTTCAAAGTATTGAAATGTAGGGAATACTTCCTAACTCATTGTGTAAGGCTAGCAGTACCCTGATACCAAAGCCTAACAGAGACGCTACAAGAAAAGAAAGTATAGACCAAGATTCCTTATAAACATTGACGTAAAAATCTTCAACAAAGTACAAGCACAATTAATTCAAACGCATATGGAAAGGATTATACACCACCACGGCCGACCAGGATTCTATTACTCGAATGTAAGTATTGTTCAACATAGGCAAAGCAATCAAAGTAATAGAGTGCATGAGAAAAATAACAATAAACAGAGATCTCAACTGATGCAGAAAAAGCATCTATAAGGTTCACCAGCTTTCTTAACAAAAGCCTTCGATAAACTACTAATAAAAGGAAATTTCCTCAGCATATTAATCATATGGGAAAATCTACAGCTAATATCAGACTCAATGTTGACAAACTGGAAGGTCTTCTTTTTCTAAGGTACAAAGCAAAGAGGTCAGAGTTCATTACTTCTATTTCACTTAGTAGTGGAAGTACTACTCTGAGCAATTAATCAGGAAAAAGCATCAAAATCTGAAAAGAAGTAAAATTATCTATCTCTCTGCACAAGTCACTTGATCATATATATAGAAGACGCTAAAGGGTACACATACACACAGAGCGCTAAAGAAAATTTTCTTTTCAAATTGCAACCTGCAGAATCGACATGCAAAAAGCAGTAGCATTTCTAAACAATAAAAATGAACACCAATAAATATAACCAATAAATATAATTTAACTCTTCTTCCATATCTGGATGAGAGTGGATTTTCCTTTGGGGAAGATAGCTTTGGTTTGGTTTTGTTTGGATTTTTGTTGGCGGAGAAGCAAAAGACATGAGAGGTGATGACTAGAGGGGGAGAACAGGCCTGCTCAGGACTTCTTCAGCTAGCCTTTCTCACTCATCTCCCTGGGCACATGGAAGGAATCCCCTCAACTGCACATGAAGTGCCAATTCTGCTGGAGAGCCCAGCATTAAGGCCCTTCGCTCAAGCCTGCCTGCCTCCTCACCCCTGTGCCCTATATACCTGCAGGTCCAAGAATCCTTAGGCTACTTCACTAGCTCCAATCCTGAGATTCCCCCGTGATGATAGGCCTTTCTAATCTTGGGCCTCTGGGACCTGCATAGGCTTCCAGAAGGTAGGGAATGTTTGTTTCCCCACCTATACGTTGAGTGGCCAGAAATCAAGAGCCAGGAAGCCGGGTTTTCCTCAGAGGCCATGAGATAGCAATAGGGCAGCATTAACGGGATGAGACAGGGGCTGGAGGCTCAAGGGGCCAGACTCTGACCCCGGTCACATAATGAATGCATGGATGGGAGTTACGGAAGACTTGGGGGCAGGAGAGGGATCCCAAACTGGCTTCTGTACTGTCCTCTGCCTCTTAAAGATCTAGTGTGCTCATCGAGGAGCTCCTCCACCCTTCAGCACAGGCATCTGCAGAGAAAGAGAGCGCACCCTTAAACAGGTGCTCTGGAGTGAGGAAAGACCAGTCAGTTGCTCTTCCTAAGAAAGGAGTCCTCTCAACACCACTATGGCTTTGTTTGCTTTGGCTTGGTGTGGTATCGTTTTGTTTCCATGGGTTCTCATCAGAGATTTCCGAGAGAGAGAGAGAGAGAGAGAGAGAGAGAGAGAGAGAGAACTGTAGCCTGGATCTCATGCTATTTGGACCAACACGGACCCAGTTGTCAAACATGGCTTCCTAAAGCATCTTGAGGGTGAAAAATCTCCATGCCGAGGCCTCAGAAAGGAGTCATCATGATCCAACATTGAAGTGGGTTCCGGAATATGCATAGAGGGAAACCACCAACTCATCCCTTTATAGACCAACGTGTGGCCCTGGCCCCTTGCGGTGCACATGGCACCCACACGGGAGGCATGGGGATCAATGTTCCCTATACAGCTCTTCATGCAGGAGAGCTGGGTGTACCCTAGACCCTCGATGTCTAAGAATCCCCGGTCATAACATGCTGCTGTCTCTTCTCAGGTAATTAAGGCTGGAGGAATTAAAACAAGTATAGAGAGGTTCAGAAATGCTGAACAACAACAACAACAACACCCCACAAAACAAAATCAAAAGAAAGACATGCACACTATTCACTGGTGCTAACATTTTATTCAGGGAAATAAAACACTACACACAACTCTAAGGTAACGTTCAAGAACAAAAATGAACTACACGCGTGAAATACTGCCCATCACAATTCCCACAAAGCTACCACCAGAGAGTCAAGAAAAACTCATCTCAGGAGAGAATACGGCATCCATTTGCGGAGCACACAGTGGGTACTCCATGCTGAATCCCCAAATGCAGACATGCGTAAACCAAAGAGAGCTTAACATCTTAGATTTTATTTCCATTGGAGTGACAAGTGCTCACTCAAATCTCCCTCCATTTCACAGACAGACAATGTATTTCCAGAAGAACAACTTGACATTCCACAGGGAAGAGTAGCCTTTGCCACAGCCCATGGATTTCCCTAAAGAACAGTACAGCGTGTCTGTTGAGGGGTGGGCATCAGAGCACAGCCCCCAGAAACATGAGAGGCAGCACCCTGTGGACCTGAAATATTCCATGCAATGCAGCTGAGCAAGCGCCGATTCCCCACATCAGTCCAGGAGTCGGCCACATCCTCAGGTCCTCAGACACCCCGTCAGGGTGCAGCGGGGTGGAGGACAAGTGTCCGAGGCCAGGAGCTGGCTCATTCGCTCTCAGTGTCTTCTGAGGATGAGGACACCTGTAGGTCATCGTGGAGGATGCTCCAGGGGACATAGTCACGGGCTCCATCCAGCATGTGGGCGGCAGGAAGGCCCTGAGCAGGGATTGGCTTCTCGGGAGGAAGGAATGAGGGAGCTGCTAGGAACCTGGAGCTCCAGCAGCTTCTGTCCAATCTGGTGAAGACCATTCTCAGGGGCTGAGTGGGGGCCAGCACAGAGGGCGGCCGTGGAGGCCCGGTGCACGGCTGCAGCGTTTCCAGGTGAGGTGTGGCAGGTGTGGGCCGGGTGCCCTTGCTTGGCAGGAGGGCAGGTGTCTTCCTGGTCTGCGGGGGCACGGCTGTGCATCCACGTGCACGTCTGCTTCCTGGGGAACATAGACTCCCCGAAATCCCCACGTGGGCTCCCTGGATGCTCCTGGGGGTGTGCTGGGTGGGGCTCCATCGCGCTTTCTTTCGGGGGTTCTGGGTCCTGTCTAGGGGCATCTGGGCACAGTTCTTGCCTGGAGTCTGGAGGGCCATTTGGGAACGGTCTGCCAAAGCGTTGCTGACAGCTGGACACGTGTTCTCCTCAGGATACTTGGGTGGTGCCTGGGTGTGTCCCAGCCCATGGACCTTGGAGCCAGCCTGGGGACCTTCGAGGGAGACTCGGCAGGGCCTCTTGGCTCTCTGCTGCACCACCAGGCTATCAGCCCTGACACAGGGTTGGCGTGCCGGCTGAGGTGTGTCGGCAACCGGCATTTCCTGGACCCCAGGAGGTCCACCAGGTGGGCTGAGGCTAACTTTAGGGCTACTGAGAGGAGATGTGGAAAGGCACCGGACGCTCACATCAGGGTTCTCAGTACGTGCCTCCATCGGCAGGGAAGGCTCAGGGATAGAAGGCCTCCTGGTGGTGTAGACGGGCATCGGCATGTGTGGACGCTGTGGGAAAAGAGAACACACGGGACACCATGAGTGTGGCCTCGGCACCAAGGCAAAATGAAGATTCAGGAAAGAAAGAAACCAACAAATTCCTAAGACCTTATTAACCACCCCCTCCCCCAGAACAGGGAAAGAAAGAGATGGGATCTGTTGACCTAGACGTAGGGAATCCGGCTCCAGGGCTGGTCCGGAACAAAGGCATGACTGGATGCTGTTGATGCACTTTTGACATCGGGGAGGGGCACACAAATTTTAGCCTCACATCGATGCTTCCTCCATTGGACCAGCTCCTCCATCCGCTCTGCTCACGAGGCTATAGGAGTCCTGCTGCTGGAGAGTCACAGTGGCAGCTCCTGAGGAGGGATGGGCAGTGGGGGAATGTGTCACGAAGGACAGCGGCTTGTTCTTCTCTAAGGATGGTACTTGTTCCAGGAGTGTCCGCCAGTGACCTTCACGTGTCAACAAAGCCACTGTTCGCACACATTCAAGGCATAAGGCAACATCATGGGCACCAAGGGAAAAATGGGTGCAAAGGCCGGGCCACTCAACTGCCCCTGGTCAGAGTGGAAGTGGAGCCCCGGCCTCCCCCAGGAGGCCAATGGAGCCCAGCGAGTCCCCCACAGAGCACAGCAGCCAGGAAGCAGCGCACACTCACCCTCACATAGTCACAAGATTCGGTGCCTTCCTTCCAGGTGCGCTTCTGCCCCTCTCGGGGTCTCCTGGGGAACCTCTGGAGCAGGTCCTTCCTCTGCTCGGCTTCTTGCCTGCACGAGAAATCAAAGCATGGAAAGGAGAAGGAACCCCCTTCCCTGTCTTCCAGCTGGACACCAGCTCTGGATTTGGGCCAACATGGTCCTTTCCCTACTCAGCCATTTTACACCCACACCTGCCCCCCACCCTGACTAAAGTGAGCCCACCAGGTCGTCCAGGCAGATTCTCTCATTCAGAGCCTATGAGAGAGTCTGCCTTGTATTGTGCCAAGCTCCATCCATTCACTGGGGCAGGCACACTGCTCCAGCCACAACCCCCACACCGAATCAGCAAGGACAGCACCATCACCCAAATGTGGACCCTGCTAGCCTGGGAGCTCCTCTGCCTGCCCTGCCTCGCCTGACTCTGCCCGCACGCTGCGGTGCACACAGTGTGCATGGACACGGACACGGTGTCTGTCGGTGTCATCCCTGGCATTCGGGTCAGCAAGCCCCATGACTCACCTCCGTCTCTCTACCTTCTCCCTCTCAGCCTGGTTCAACAGCCCAGCCTGGTGCCACTGGTCCCGCTGACTCCACGGTTCCACGTTCTCCTTCAGCCTCCTGGAGCCCAAGGCCACGGGAACGAGGGTTGCGCCCCAGTGTTTTATGGGGCATCTGGTGCTTGATGCCTTGTGTCCAAAGGCCCCACAGTCCCTGCACTTTACCTGGGGGAGGAACGGGGAGGAGTCAGTGCATCCATTCAAATGCCAGTGAACCTACCAAGCACACGAATGGGAGGCCAACCTCAGGGAGTGGCACGTGGGATGAGGACAGGGGACATCCTATCTGGCTAGTGGGGTACCAGCATCGTGAAGACCTCAGGATGCTTCCTCCCCAGCCCGTGGAGAGGGGAGGGGAGGGGAGGGGAGAGGAGGGGCGGGGAGGGGAGGAGGGGAGGGGAGGAGGGATTGGAGGTGTCTGGTTGAAGACAGGTGGAAGCATCATTAAGATTAAGCTACAGGACAAACACAGGGCTGAATCTGATATTATGGTGCCCTGGGGCTGATGCTCAGAGCCTCTGAGTGTCCCAATGTGTAGCCTGGGGATTTCCTGCCCATGTCACAATGGACAACTGAGTCTGGGCCAGGATCTTCTGGGAGCCTAGCCTGTCTCAAGACTCCTGGCAGAGCTGCTGCTTCAAAACCCATGCCAGCCTCCGCACTTACCCTGGGATCCTCCTCCTCTGGTCTGGGAACTCTGAGGGCCAGTCCTGCTGTCTGTGGCCTCTTGCCCTTCTGGGCTCTCAAGGGTCTGTGGGGCCCAAGCTGGGTGTGACGGGCCGCCATCAGTCCCACGTCCTGGAGGGACAAGTCAGTCTGCTTCGCGGATGGGTTTCAGGCAGCCTGAGGGAAAAGAAACAAGTGAGTCCTATTCACCATGACACCGGCCTCCTCCCTGTACCGTCTTACCAAGGAGGCATTAGCGAGTGTCAGGACACTTGTGCCAAACACACAATCCCCACTGTCACTTCTCTTTCTTCCATCCTGTCTACGCCCTCCTGGCCAAGCCGCGTCCCCGCTCTGAGGAAGCCCACCCTGAAGCAGGGACTCTTGTTGACACTATCATTAAGTCTCTCCAAATCGCCTGTGGAACAAAACCAGGGACGGGACCTCTCCCGATTGAGGTCCCGTGGGATCCACCATGGAGCACGCAAAGGGCAAAAGCGTCAGGAAAGTGGGCTTCCCTCTCTCATATCTGAATGCCCCTTGTGACCCAGAGGAAGCCGTAGTTAAGTCCAGATACATGGGAAAACACAGTCCCCTCTACTCGACGGGAAGCTGCCATCTGAACACTTCCATTCCATGTGTTCGCGGCAGTGCCCCCGATTAACTGCCATCGAAACTTTGGGAAGTGAATTTCTTTTCACCTTGGGAAACAGGTAATTCTTCTATTGAAAAAAAAATGTCAGTTATTTAAGGGAGACAGAGAGAGAGAGAGAGAGAGAGGGAGAGAGAGAGAGAGTGTGTGTGTGTGTGTGTGTGTAAGGGAGAGTGATCACCTGAGCTGTATGAAGGACAGAGGGAGAAGCAGACTCTCCGTGGGCAGGAAACCCAGTGAGGGCCTGGATTCATCTCCAGAGCCTGAGATCATGACCCAACCCAAGTCAGACCATGAAACAATGGAGCTGCGCAGGCGCCCTGATCCTGTGTCTTCTCTAGGTCTGCGGTGCCCACTGAGACATTTACAGGCCTTCTGTCCCTGCTCGTCTACCACCCCACAGCAATGTGACACTCGGGGCCCCATTCCATTGGCACTGGAACCTCCGGGTGTCCTGGGCATTCACAGCCATGCCTTGGCTCAGTCCCTGCCCTCAGAACATGTTAGACCAGAAAGAGTCCTTAACCCGTGGAGGAAGGGCCAATCCCTCCACCGTTTCCTCACTGTCCCATTATTCGCTCAGGGAAGGTAGGACCAGTGGTCCGAAAACTCACCTGAAGTGCAACTGTGGTCCTCACGCCTGTCAGGAGATGCTGGGAAAGGTCCTGGACAGGCTGCACTGTAGGAGACTGTGTGTCCCGTGGGAGAGAGGGATGGTGAGGAATGGCCACTTCCGTTGCTACCTGACTTTTATACTGCCCCGAGGTCACGTGACGTTTCAGCCACTTGAAAGACATCCATCTAATCCTCTTAGCTGCAGCAGGGATTGAGCCCATCAGCAGCTGCAAGGAAGCTAATGATGCCCTCATCTGAACGATTTCAATGACTCTGTGTGTGTGCCTGTGTGTGTGTGTGTCTCTCTGAATGGAGATGTAAGTCCATGCGGATTTGGTGGATACCAAAATTTCTGCAAGTGAAATTATATTGGTATATTTCAGCGTGGGAATTAACCTCAGGACTCATGTTTCCTGAACTATTTGTATTTTGCCAGCACTTCTGCTCAATTTAGAGCTAATAGCAATAAAAATGGGGTCCGACTTTGAGGTTATTCATTATGTAATATCCTTTTCATCAATTAACTTTCAGTTAAAAACTGAAATTCCATAAAGAGCAAAACCTTCCAATTGGTGCGAATCACTTGATTGGATTAAGGGATTTGGGTGTGGTCCCTTTCTCATAGAGACCCACCAGGCCAGCCCACCTCCTAATCTTGCCTCCCTCAACAGACAGCACCTTCAGGTCTTTCTCAACCTCCCTAAAAGCCCCTGCACCTGTCTGAACAGAATGTGATCAGAGTTTCCATGTTGAATGGATACTTTTATGAATGTCCTTTTTCTTCTTGAGTAACATCAAGTGAGCCAAGGAGAGTTAGACGTTAGTGCTCTAGGACAGGGAAGATCTCTTTCCCAAAGGAGCTCAGGTATCACATAGGAACACGTTCTCCTCACCAGGCAGAGTCTTTGTAGCTGTAACCAATTATTTTGGGAATATGGTGTCCATGCTTTGCTTCTACACTTCCATCTCTCTCAACTATGATTTCAATCTACAAAGATTATGAAGGTTTTGATGAATACCAGTATCTTCCTAGGTGTGGCCCTGGTCCACCACAAGAGAAATCCTCTTGCTGGCTTTATGCTTTTGGGAAACATGCCTCTGAAACTCCCTTTCCTACAAGAGTCTATATCCTAAATGCAGTGTTTATATGCCTCATTTTAACTGTTCCTCAGGGAATTCCACCCCAATATCCTTTATATTCTCTTGATTCAGATGGAGTACGTTGTAGGCTTGTGCCTTTGTCCATATTATGGGCTTGGCAGTTGTAGATGCAGGGAGGAAGGCACTGGGTTAGCTTGTGGTTTGAAAGTGTCATTATGGCTTATTCCGCCTACAGAATTGGTAGTGTCTGCTGAAAGATTTTTGAGTCGACATGACAATTCATTCCTACTTGTGACCATGATCACTTTCATTGGAAAAGGAGGCATCCTTGTGCAGGATAGAATTACAAGAATAATGAAGTTTAAGAAATTGTAAAGTCTTAGGAAGGTGGAAACCAGAGTCTATTTGTCCTCTTTACTGAACAGAGGCCAGGAGAAACAGGAAAGTTTTGCCAGACCATGGTCAGTGACTGGGCTTCAGAAGCCCTGGGGTCCTGCTGAATTCTTGATGTTCACTTGTCATCCCTGGACAATAAGGGAATAAAAATGTCATTTCTGAAGCCACCCTGTTTTAGGATATTGATTCTGTATCCATGGAGTCAAATAAAAATCTTGTGTACAATGCTCTTTATGATATTTCAGTTTTTAACTGAAAGTTAATTGACGAAAAGGATATTACCTTATGAACAACCTCAAAGTCTGGCCC